AATTAGACAAGCATAAAAGATATGAGACAAAGATAGTCGCCAATCTCCTAGAAGAACGTTCGCCTATTGGATTTGTGAGAGACATAGTTCTGGGGATAAGAAAGGCGATAGCGTTCTGATGGGACGTCGACCCCGTCGGCCTTTCCGTCTGTTTGATAGGAACGTTGCCACTGAGGGCTCTTTCACGTGATTACTTTGTCTTCGTCGTTTGCCCACGATATCAAGTGCCCAAGACCGTCTAGTTACAATTCTGCCCGAACTGTTTTTGAAATGTAGGATTGATCGATTTCACTGATTGCACCTGGGAATGAGCAATATAATAGGCTAAGAGAGGGGGAGGAGGAATCTTGTGGGAGACCATGGTCGACGGATAGGAAAAGGAGGTAAAACTGAGAAGCTCTGATGCGACTCTTTGACCACATCGCATCTGCTGCTGGGGAAGGTTTGCTCTCTTCTCCCACAGACAAAAACGTTTCATATTTGTCCAAAAACAAATCCTAGGGAAAGCTAGGCAATAATTTTTTTCGGGTTCTCGTATTGCGTTCCTTTGATTCTGTAGATCGCCTGGGATATTTCGCCCCGGATTTCCACACTACGAGATGGTTACGGGGGCGCCACAGCAGGTTTCTTTTTTTTTTGCACTTTAGGTTTATAAAAAACATCTCACGCCATTCTCCAAAAAAACCAGCCCAAACTTGCGAGTTTATTGGCAACTCGTAAAAAAAAACTTCAGAAGTACATCCCAAAAAAAAGGCCCTCTCGCCCACAGGTTCAATTATTAATCATCCAAGATGGATGGAGAATTCTGACAAAATTTGGTCTTTTTCTTCAGGAAGAATAGTCTTTGAATGCGTTCCCCACAGAGCCATCAAATTTAGACTTTTCTATCTCTGATGGAAGTGGTCCCCCATGTCCCACTGAGGAAGTCCGAATTTTAATTGGCGGCGAGTTGTCAATGAGAAGAAACGGCATTAAATTCCCAGGAGCTTCCAACAAAAATACACTGAGCTTGAGAAACTAAAGTAAGCCGGCTGAAGACTATAGCTCTAACCAAAGGCTAACATCTTAGAAAACCTGCCCCACTTTGACGACCAAATGGCTTTTTTATAAGGATTAGGGAAAAGTTTTTTGATTGCATCGAAGAACCTCACGAAAAAAAAAGCAAACTTCTCCGAACGCTGGAACGAAGCTTCTTCAGAGATCAACGAAACCATTGATGGTGACGATTGTTGAACAAAAGCGATCCGAAACATCTACACACTTCGTAAACACTCACGTGTCTTTCTCCCCCCGTCCGCACCCCGCTCCCACATCAGCCACCACCCAACCACCCACTACCCTCACGACGATATTTGCGCCCGCATTTGTTGCGACCCGATCGATGTGCTTCGCATGTGTTTCGCTTAGAAATGGGGGGCTATTTCAAGGGATCGAAAACCAGATAGAATTGATTGTATTGTATGAAACCCAGCCTATAGCTGTGCCCAAAGGCCATTTCCCTGAAAGGAAGCGAAACTTAAAACCCCAAGTCATAAACCCATCCTCCCTATCCCTCGGTACCGACAATGAAAAAATTAATTGTCAGGCACAAACGATTTGATGGTCCCAAGCNGAAGCAAGTGCAACTACATCGAAAAAAGGGCACTTCCCAACGAACAAAGCTCCCAGGGAAACATGTTTTCCCAGCAGCCTTATTCCGACAAACGAAGATTGACGTTTCAGCCCCCTTAAAAAAAAGCACAGCCATCGTCGTTCTAAAGCTGACTTCTATCAAGTTTTTGAAGGCTGAGTCCAACGCCCGCAAGAACACCTCTATAAGCGCTTTCCAAATACCTTGGTTGGTATTAGAGTAAATCAGTCAGGTCCAAAGAGAAGTGGCAAGTTAGTTCAACATAGCACGAGGTAGACATTCAACCTTTGTAGTCGTCTACATGTCAGGGTAAACACGGGATGGCTTTTGATCCACGGTCCCTGACACCTGAAACCGCCGCACCATATAGACTCGCCACCAAGCCACTTAAGACTTCTCACTGAGAAAGGTTCATGGAGGACAAGCCAAGGGGATGTCAAGCTTTCACGACAAAGATTCCTACGAAGAATTTGGAGTGGTATCAAAAAAAAAACACAGAAAAACGCCTAATTTGAGGTACTCAGACTCAGGATCAGAACAACCCATCGGGAGAAAACTGGTTGACGGAGGTATCTGCCGTCAGACCCTTCCAGACAATGCTCCCTGTCGTCCTACTGATACTCCTGCTATCTTTTGAAGTGCGCCAACATAAATTTGATTTGGGGATGAGTAAAGACTGGTCTCAATTCATCCGGCCACTTGATGAGGATGGCCTGTACAACCAGAAGGCTGCAGCCGAAGATCCCAATGTCAACCAGACTGCCTGACTCCAATTTATTGACCTCACTGCAATGTTTGCTTAATAACGAGGTAATGACCAGCTGTGAGGACCAGCAGTTACTGGACCATGAAGGGACCCAAGCATCGCAGATGAACATAATAAGCGTGGCCATTTTGGAAATTAAACAAGAAGGACCCGAGATGTTGGAAATCGGAACAGACCGACCGGGAATGGAGCCGAATACGACGTTCATGGGTGAGATGTTAAATATTACGCGTTCGTGACAGAGTTGGTAGAGTTATAAGAGGAGCAGCGTAACTTTAGCTAATACTTGTAGAAACCTTCAGATAACCGATGCGAGACATTTCTTGGTCTGGATTCTAGACGAAAAGGGTTCGAAATTTTTATAAAGTACACCAACATTTATGATTGGAAATCGACATGAGAAGCCAGGAAAAAGACAGAGCTATCTTCAAAGGATCCGAATATTACTTATTAAGCATGAGTTACAAAAGCCGCCTTTTCGAAGAATTTCCCCGCACAATAGAACCCATATCGATTGCGCTGGTCCTTGATATAATGGCTGCCCGTACACGGTGCCAGTCGGGGGATGACTACAAGTAACAACCATTCTCGCAACTGCTTCGCGACTTCTAGAGTACTGATTCAAGTTATCAACGAATCCCAGATTTCGTAGTGGAAAAGCCAATATCTGGGGACGAAACCAGCGTCCAAGGTGTCGTGGCGTTGAAAGCGGGCCAGCGGAGCGAGGAATGAACGTCTCAACTAAGCCTGTTTCGTTCCCGATCCAATTGACAGCGTTTTTCACAGATGTTCCAATCATGAACTGAATGACTGCTTGCCCATTAATAACTTGGGTGACCGAAAAATCCATGAAGAACCTTCAACAAGCCGTCCTATCACAGTACTAGTTGAAGTACTTGTAGACGAAATAACAAGTTAGAGCGATCCAAGCCCAGGATGTTATCGAACGTATAGATCAGATCAAAGCCTTGACGCGGAACTAAAATCATGAGGAAGAAGAACGTCGTTAATGGAGTACAGCCGCAGTCCGCACCGACACACACACAAGACAGCTGATCGGTGTGCTGGATAATGGAAGGTGTAGAGCGCAGACGCGAGAGTGCACACAGTGGCAGAGACGCAGAGCAACTTATGTCGGTGGTGGCGCTGCTGTGATGGTGGCGGTAACGACGACGGCGGCATACGCATGTGATTGGGAAGGCTATTCATAAGAAAGCATCGCTTCAATGGGACACTGGAATTCAGGGAACCCTAAGTGATCTAAGCCCAATAGGGGAAACTACGTAGCTGTAGGAATTTGACGTCAAGACGAGAAAAGCAAGCAATTTCCTACAACTGGGTGAACTCCAAGGGGACCTCAAACCAGTCAGTAAAGCCCTCAAGAGCCAGCTACATCGCTCTTTTGCGTTCACGGGGAAAAAACATTGTTTCGACTTCCTGCTCAGCACAGCGCCTGTCAAAGAAAAAGTCGAAAGGGGTTGTAGTAACATTTTTTCTGTCTTACTGGCAAAGGGCAAAGACACAGCTGAGCAAAGTTTGTCCAACGACATTGCCTCGGTCCCCAAAAAGTTGAATGCGACACCAGAAATACGATTCTGCAAGCCTAAAGGCGTGTTTATAACGACAATGGGGATAGGCATGGCCTAATGACGCCAGCTGTTCGGTTAGGGTATCTACACGGGTACACGTCATGATTCCCATTATATCTACTCCGGGATTGTGACCCTATCAATAAGGAATGAAATACCCAAGAAGTAAAGAAAACATGGCTCATTCAATTCAGCAAAACCCACTGCATCCAAGCGGGAGAGGAGCCTGGTTCCAACCTGCACGAGATCCAGGTTCACCTTTTGAGACGCTAGTCGCTCCAGGACTTCATGTTTCCTAATCGCCGAGATTTTTGTACCAATTTTTTGTAAATTATCGATTTTTCCTATTCAATCTATCATAAACAACCGCTCTTTCAACTAGTTGCATACTCACAGTCAGAAAAAAACTCCGTGAAACCTTCACACAGCGCTTCGTTCCTATCCGAGAAAAACCACCTTAAAAACGTCGCTTACGTAATGCAGCACAACTAGACGCTTCACTTTCACTCTTCATGCCCGACGATTTCTGACTAGTCCAGCTATTCAGTTAGGCCTAGGCAGCAACACGGGTCGTATGTTTCGGGAGAAGAATCGAGCGGGGTGCCTGCACTGCACTGCCACCACGTCTCGTTCCCTCTCTCTCCGTCTGTCAACGTCAACAATTCCTGCCTTTATTATCGACTTGGACAGAATTAACACACACACACAAACATCGCACCTTAAAGATCCTTTTCAGAGGGGAGGGGGAGCCAGGAGAAAGGCGACTTTTTACGGGATGATTGGACCGATAAATTGCTTCCAACAAATGGCCTCCGCCTCATTAACATCATCATCCAGCCGTTTATGTAATAGACATCATCAAATTATTAGCCATAAAAGGCTGCGCACAACAATGGCTAACAAAAACAATCAATTTACCTATAACTTATAAAAACTATTAAACATATAACAAAAATCCCTACTTTGAAAGCCGCTGACCAGTTTTGCTACATAAAATCTTTAGTTAAGGCTGAAGTCATCTTGCGGCAGCGGCACTGCGGAATATACGACGTCGAGTGACACCAGCTTGGTGGCGTTCTTTTTCAAAGCGCTGGATCTCTTCTTCCACCTTCAACTCGTGCTCCAAATTCGACCCAGTTCGATAATTAGCAATCAAGTCGTACCGCATGTAGTCATTCATCTGAACAAATCTGTTTAGGACCAACAAATTACGGTCTCAAAAACTATTCCCACATAGGACTTGTTTGAAAAATATAAGAATATATGAGTGGACAGATGAAAATCCCGCGTGAACCCGTACGAATATAAATATAACACACTCAAAAATCTTCACATTCCTTGAAATGGACGGTTTTCATATCCCATCCAGTTTTTCAGTCGGGAAATTGTGGGACCGCCAAAGACCCTACCACGATTCGGTACGTATGGGACTGGTTGACTTTGTCCTCTCAGCGCTCTTTCCACATTTGCACGGTTCCACGCTTCCACTAACAACAGGCCGGTTAGGAGGTAGAAATAACCAATCGATACGTATTCAGTCCACAGTAGTAAGTTTTACGATTCCATAATTCCTCGAGTCGACACGTGAAGTAATTATTGCCTCCCCTACCCCTCAATACCTTTTCGTTCATTACACTTCCTAGAGGGAGTGAGACCACTAGTGAGGGATGAGGAGCGGTGGTGTGGTTAGGAGCAGAAACTATTCCCACTCTTTAAGAAATCAACACTACTGCTACCTCACCTCCTTCATCTTGGAGGCCTTCTCAAGTGACTTGAATAGTTTGGTTACTCCCAAAGCATTGAGCCAAAGTAATGGTGGAATCCGGAGATTTAAGTCCCAGAAGATTAAAGTCCACAAGGGAGACTCAAGAGGATTATACTCTTATCAACTGCAGTTTCCTTTTTCCTTCGGCGAATTTCTTGGAAAATATGTCCTTCACTCGTCAAATCTTTCGTGTCAGCAACGGCCAAGAAAAAAAATTATCAAGACTCTGCTAAAAGACAAAAGAACGACGACGGCAAATAGTTGTTTAAGATGCCGTGTCGACAATTTGCTATCGAAGTACGTCATGACTAATGCACTGCAAATCAATGTAGGGCTATTTAGCACCTTACGAAGAAACCCAATAATACGTTGTGATGGAAAGAATGCGTGATTCCAATACCCTAGTCAGCGAACACAACGAAAGCTACACCAAAATCAGAATTCAGAACGATCCCTGCACCACAGCTGGTTCAGTATCACCTCGTAATCAATACTTTGAAGATTAAAAACCGAAAACCATTAAATTTGCCATAAAAACGAAAGCCCAAATGGTTCATTTAGCTGGCTATTCAGTTGGGAACCGTTATACGGTAGTAGAAAAAGTAACAGGAAGGGTGAAACGTATAAAAGCTTTGTCATACATATAGTCGGTTAGTCAAGAAAAAGTCCAGCCGTCTCTGTACTGGATGGAAGCCGAAAGCGTAACAACAACCGAAACGTTTCACGTATCCGATAACTTGGCAATTCTTTCAATAATACTATAGCTATAAAATCTTGGGTGGGTGCAGTCCATTTTGGTGCAAGACCTCGGTTACCAAAGTGTGAGTCATAAAGACAATTGGTATCTCAGAAATAAAGTGCGTCACGAAATGCCAGAGAATGATGCGATCGTCACACCATTTTAGCTACCAATAATACCCAACAATGGGAATTAATGGAAGATAAAATGATGTAGGGATCGCATCATTTTCTCGAAAAAGAGATATTTGTGCAAGGAGAATTGGATGCTTTCTGAGAAGTCTAATGCAGTCAAGCATGTATAAGTCAAAAAAGCGGCATTTTAGCAGCTGAATGATGTCATCTTGTGATGACGCCCTGGCGGATGACAACTCATGTGAGTGCAAGGGCAGAAATCTTACAACAATGGCAGACTATGCTGGTATTGCGGACCACAACATTGAAGAAAATCATTAAGGAAGAACAAATAGCACGTCCCTCGTTGTCTTGTAGCCAATTGAAACCCCTCGCCATCTCGTAAAGAACGTTCTACAAACGCGAAATGGGTCGGGTAAAATTTTCCCTGTATCTTATGCAATGGCGAAGCATCTCGAGAGGACTATACTGCTCGCCCGCCTAGCAGTCACTCCCGCGATCAAAGTAAACCCGGGATTCGTTAGCGTAATTCCTGACACTTAGTTTAAGAGTTCATGAACGCTTTTACATAATATGCGACTAAACTTAAGCCTTCGTTTGAGTTCCCACACTTTAGGAGATCATGTCGGGAATTCATTTGTCGATACCTTCACCACCTTCGACATGGAAAAATCTCTGCGATTAAAAGTAGTTCCCGTCGACTCTTTCTTGGACGATGAAGCACTGAAAATATGGATACCTTCGTTTTATGGAATTTCCGCTTGAAATAGGGAGTAGCATGTATCCATGCGTCTTCAATGCCCTTCAGGTCAAACAATTCCCATCGACGTGCCCAAGGAGGGGTTCGCATTTTCACCTGAAACGATTATGTTGAGCGTATGAAAATGTTCACAAATGTTGTCGAAAATGAAAAGCGGCAGCATTCGGAAAGAAAATCAGAATTGCTGCCTAACCACAATACTATTCAAATGCATCACATCAGGCTCTTCACTTCACGCGAACCACCGAACTGACATAGCCCATTCTTTTGTGAAATACTTTATTTTTACCAATGAAAGTTCATACTCGAACAGGGCACGAACGATCATAACCCTTTCATGCTCTACATTATCCTTTCGTTGAGGGCCCCTAAACTCTGCAGCATAATAAGTGACCATGTGCTTCAAGAGAGAGTAGGCGTAAACGATGCGGTCTCAAACTACTTGCGGGACGTTCATTTAAAAAAAAAAACTTTAAGGGACAAACGAGTAGAAAAGCAAATTTCATGCGCTTCCTAATCATTCAAATACCTAAATATCACTTTGGTTGACTGCGAATCTCTAAACTAATCTTTGGAAAACACCAGTCCCGCAATTGGAAAAGATTACGATCTAGGCACCCAAAACACAGCTTTTTCTCCCTAGTTTAAGCTTCTGCGTACCCACACGTAATAGTACTCATTATCTGCGGCAATGCAAAAGAGGTAGGGGGCACCCGGATTTGAACCGGGGACCTCTCGATCTGCAGTCGAATGCTCTACCACTGAGCTATACCCCCACGCTTCACAATGCGAGCGCAAATCGTTCTCGTATTCGCCGCAAACAATGTCTCCCGTTCTCCGCAATGACCACATTGAATCAACAAAAGAAGTAGAAACCTTGATTGGATTTATGGGAACAGGTGTTCCAGCTGCGTGCGAAATCGGTTCCATGTTAAAGTCGAATGTGCTGTATTCAGGAAGTGCATCAATTAAATAGCTTAGATCGTTGTCCAAACGTTTTTCCAATTTGAGAGTTTCAATTTTTCTTATTGTCGGATTGTACAATTCATACATTATTTCAACGCCTGAAATTAATTGATATGATCGAAATAAGGCTTCAAATCAGAGCTACTCTGGAGCCATTACGTGATAGCACTTACCAACGCCATCTACTACATTTCTTAGAGTGAATTGATGATGAAGACCTTCTCTTTCTCTACGAATGCAGATTCCGACAAAGCGATGTTCTTTGCTACCCAAACATTTCTCCGAAGTGGTTACAGCAACAATAGAGCCTAAAGTATGCAGTTCCTCGGAAACGTTTTTCAAGAGGAAATTACCTCTCCCTCTCGCTGTGTGAAAGAAGTACACAACCACTTTGTGATTAATCAGTAATGGAAAGGAAGGGATTTCAAAGGAAAAAGTGCACCTGATTGAATACGGCATTTCTTGCGACGCAAAATAACGAGGTCTTCAGCTACGATGATATTCATACAAAAAAAGCTTCGAAGGAAAGTTAAAGCATACCGACGTAGAATTCCGGAATGTCAATATTCATCCGACGTTCGAGCATATCTTTATGAATGAGTTCTTCAAATAAAGGATTCCGTCGATTCCATACTGGTGATTGAAGGAAATCAGGGTATATAAGCCTGAAGCTAACGTCTATAACACAACACCGGATAAATATCGAACAAGGATCACTCACGGAAAGTCAGGAATATGCTTTAACTCTGCCATTTTCTTTTTCAGATCACTCTCTTTACGGCTGGCCATAGCTGGTCTTGAATAGCACGTGTCTGCTGAATTACGAGACGGTAGAAGTTGCACTGCAACTGCCCGTGCCAGCCGTAGCGATGACGGCTTAGTGAGGGTTGCCATCGCTATAACGTTCTCAATGAAGCAATGCAGCAACTTTTCAGAACATTACAGTAACTATACAGTAACACAGTAACTTCAGAAAAAGAAACAAATACTTGTGACGGTAAAGTGATACACCTTCTACGTGAACACATCAATCATTAAAGAGATTAAGGCCAAAACCAATCCTTCAAAAATCAATCATCAGAAGAGCTAATTCTTTATGTACATAACCATTTCAGATGTAAACAAAGGCAAAAGAAACACTAAGCCTTACCGAAGATCGAGTAAAAGCTTCGCAATAAACTACCTGTTACATAGTGGCGGATTTGGGAGCCATTAATGAATAAAAACAATCTCTACATTGCTGTACAGTTGCGATCTAGGCTAATGCAAGAGAATAAGTCGTTGCAGATAAGGGTGAGAATTAAGCAACTCCGCGAAAATAGGATCTATTCTGGCTTCTATAACGCCACGATGGTGATTTCAACATAATTCGTAAACTATTCCTCGCGACATCAAGTCGATCGTTAGGCCATAAAACACTCACTATAGATAATCTAGCTGATGAATCTCGAAAGAAAAAAAAAAGCAAAGGAAACCATATGGCAAACAAGAAAATGCAAGCAATAAAGAAGAAACACAAATAGGTCAAAAAGCAAGGAAATCACAAGGTAAGACCCATACTCAGCCCGAAACAAAAGGCTAAGAACTGCCTAAGCATCATGAAACACTATTCGATGTATTCGTTCTCGGAACTTGCTAACGTGTACTCTGTGGCCGAGGATGAATCGCTTTCTGTGTCGCTTTCGTTCTCGAATATTCTGGAATTCTAACACTTAAGCTGAATGAAAATAGGCTGACTCCAAAAATGAATCCTTACTGCTCCATTAATGGCCACATGTCGCGTGCACCTTCCATGGCACGCATCTCCCTCCACTCCATATTCCTTTCACGTACTCTTTCACGTTCAGGCGATGCTTCTCTCTCAAGCTCTTCAGTAGCTGGTTCACTAATAGGGTCCAAGAGCTCCGTATAACATAGCGGGCAGACCTAAAAACATTAACAGCATGACTAGTATCGATTCTAGGCGGTCTATTAAATCTTCTGTACCCACTTCATTACCCCCACCGCCTTCAACTAGAGAAAAACACTTTTTTCAAAAAAAAAAAAAAAAAAAAAAAAAAAACATGCATTTATCAATGTCATTCCCTACATTGTTTGAATTGCCACATTTCGAGAGCTTCGATTATCTCCTCTGACAATAATGTCTTCTGGGATCATCGCCCCCGTAAAAACCACCGTTGGCTTTTAAACTGTTTACCATTACGAGGGTCTCAAGAGCGCCAAGTTATTGACAACTTCTCATAACCTGTTTTCCATTTTCAAAAGCAAGAACTTCCAGTTTCAGAGGAAGTGAAAAGGGAATCATTCCCACCCCTGCATTCAACGTTCGTGCACCATCCGATTACTACACATATCGAAACTCCCTAAATTGTTTAAACAGCAAAACAAAGAATACTGGAGATGAGGTCCGAAACTATTTAAACAAAAGTAATTTGAGACTAAACAAAAGTTATTTTTTGTAAAAGGACAGCAGATTTTCAAAGAATAGGAAGAGGTGGGACTTTCGTGCACGTAATATGGAGAAAAACATTGTAAATTGACATCGGTAGCCGAACTACTCCATTTAGAAAAAAAAATCATCACAAAGCCGATTTCATGACAACCTTCAAAGTAATGAGCAAGAAAATTACCAAGAGCTCAATTTCGTACCTGTCGTACTGATAGCCACTTTCTAAGGCAAGCGCCATGGAAGAAGTGCTTGCATGGAGTTACCCGTGCTTCTTCACACATCTCCATGAAACAAATCGCGCAAACATCACTCCGAGCTGCAATGAGGCAAATTTCATATGGATAAAAATAAAATTAAAAAATCTGTTGACTAGGAGCCGATTTAGCAAAAACTGGCTCAACGAGCCATGGGCACTTGTGAAAGTTTATGCAGCTGAGTACACATAGCAATAACAACGGGACCGAACAGACCGAAATACTAAATCTGTTCAGCAAAGAGCTCTGAGTATTTTTTCAAAAGTTTATTTTAAACAGGAAAAAGTCATGGCGGTACCCTGTCCCTGAAACTTTTGCTAGTTAAGTAGCGATAATAATTATTACACCACGACATTAGACCACAATAGTATCTTACTTATTGCACTTTTGGCCAATCTAGCATATGATTAAATCGATGCCATTCAATCGAAGATCACTCGATAAGGTCAATGGCAACATTTTGCTTAGTGCAGTTTCAGAGCAAAAACGAAGGTCCTGGCCGGGATCGAACCGACGACCTTCTGCGTGTAAAGCAGACGTGATAACCGCTACACCACAGGACCACACATCGACCTGCACGTTGCGAACTTCTCACGTCGACGCATGCTCACTCAGCGCAGAAACAAATTGAAGACATTTGTAAGGAGAATTCTGAGCGCTCATAACTAGAAGTTATTGAAGAGAAAACCCAAACTGTTATGATTTACTCGTCAAGCTCTCGGGTGCATTGCTGACATACTTACTCTTATTCATCCAAAACTCTCTTGTTCAATTAGATAGTCAAAATGAAGAATTACGAAATCTAACTAAACAAATATAAACTTTGGAATAAATCGTAGATAAACGGAGAGTTAGAATTTGAAAGCAAAAAAGCAGTTTTTGTTAGTTCATTTCAAAAAATGAATAAGCATGACAGTCGCAACATATAAATCCCCTTTACCTAATCAGCAGTCCTGCACGTCTCTTTTTCTCTCTGGGGCAGTTGAAAGTTCAAATGGCCTCATGAGTGAGCCCGTAGCACTATATACTCTTTACTTAAAACTACAAAACCTTGACTGCAGAATTATGCCCGAGTAAGGGCAAGGTTTCACAGAAAATAATGTAAACGAGTTCCCGTGGTTCCTCATGGATTTGCAATTAGAAGTGACGCGTTTCTTTTCTGCTCAGTGACTAATTTCGAGGGCATCTGGCAGATTTTCCAAAAGATTCGAGAGTATAAGTTAGATTTTTCAAAAAACAGTAGAAAACCACTTGATACCCTTAAGTTCTTCTCTGCTCGCACGAGGCAAACGGTTGATATTCTTCACCGCAGCTTGTCGAGCAGTCATTGACCCGAGCAGTGTTTCCATCCTGGAAAAGTTCGTGTCAAAAGACGTTTTGACTATGTTACCAGTGCTAAGAAAAATACCTTCTATAGATATTGAATATCACGTGGAAGATAAGCACAGCGATAGTGGCCAATGTCCAATTTCCTGAATCATCTATTTTTAGAAATTAACTCACATGTAACATAAGTATTAAATGTGACCTGCATTACAACCATTTTGTACAACTACTGCCGGCCACGATCACTAGTTCCTGCACGCAAGAAGTACCCAGTTCAAAGTTTGGAGAGGGAGGAGATGGCTAGCAAGAAACACCGCCCTTTATAGGTACATGGTCTGCGGATTAAATTCCAGAGATGGACCCGCTTCGCGTAAAAAACCTTCCAATTTCGAAGCCCTTCAAGTGGTTACCATATTCGTCTGCAAGAACAATATCACTAACTTGGATATCTGCTGGAGCTACAAGCGATTCTAGTAAGAACTGGTTTCGTATTCGAACTAAACCGGTATTATTCAAAGGCTTCAATGTTCTACTCTTTACTGTCATCATAGGCAATTACAGTAATGGAAAACCTCATGGTCTATGTTGTAATAAAAGCAAAAAACTCACCAGATACCGTGAAGACTATCCCGTAGACGAGTACAATGAGGGCGATAGAAAGCTCGAAGACTTTTGTGACCATTCTTGTCCAGAATGTAAGATCATCACTGTGTTCCCATGGTTCCGCCGAGTATGACTGAATCATTTTAAAACTTTTTTTGAGCCTTCCCTTTCAAATAAGCATAATAAGATAGAGAATGACCTCAATCATTCCAATAGCATATTGTACAGTTGATGATGCAGCATGAATCGTGGTCAGCACACAGTTAGACACAATAATGACGCACCTGCAAATAGAGCTTTAGAGCATCAGGAAAACTCGCGAGGAACTATGAGTACTCTGCTCGTCATGAAAAACAAAGGGAAAAGGGTCAGCAAACGATGATGGTTTTGTCTCTTCGAATGGGATGGGATAAGCTTATCTTCGAGATCTTATCGTTGGGAGCAATCGTGAAGCTCTACGCCTTTTGCCTATGATTGCGTTCCAACGTCATCGCTCAAAAGGATTCAAAAAGAATTCCCTCTCAAAAAATCTGCGATCACAATTACAGGAATGTCTTTAGAACGTACCACAAATCAATCGGAAGGAAGGCTGTTATGGCACAAGCCATGGCAATTGGTGCAATGAAGAGATGAGCGGCAAGCAACAGACATCGGATATGTCGACCACGAGATGCTGTAGGCGAAGCAGCCAAAGACAGTAGTTGAGGCTCCAGGAGCTCATATAACGACTGCAGAAGTGCCGACATCACTGAAACATGAAGGCGATTCTTCAATTGAAAGTCATGGTTAACCGCCTCAACGTTAAATGGACTGAGACTGAACGGAAAGAGATTATCACAAACCGATAAACAGGACCAGGCCAAGCAAGAAGGCTTTCTGTTCCGTTTTCATGCCAAGCAAGCCAGTCTGTAGGCATAACAAGACAAGCGTCAGTGCTTCAGTGTACCTAAACCACATAATTCAGGCTACTTGCGAGAATCCAACCACGACTACGAGTAGAAAATTTACGAAACGATGGAATTTGCACTAACCCAGAATGAGCAAGCACATGTCCGTGGTCGCGACGTCCTCCGATGACCAACTGCGCTCCATCAACAACCCACTTACAAACGAATGAGACTGTTAAAGCAAGAGCAAGTAATGAAATTGGTGTATTCGTGCTTTCAGCGATACTAGCAAGTAACGCTGGACCTGCTTCTCGCCAAGTTCGTCCCTAAATATGTGGTGCTGTGCAAACGACCTCAAGACTATGTCATGTTATTCACTCACCTTTTCCCAAATCTCTACGTACATACGAATCACAAACATCGTCAACCAAGCACACGTCATCAGTTCAGCGATGCGGAGGCGACGCCATACGGTGACAAAACCTGTTTGATAAAGTTTTGGGAAAAGAGTTAAACATGGTGTATTCTCGGGATTCGAAAACCAAACGGCAATAAAAGATCATTGATAGAAACAAACAACTATCTCCGAAAAAATTCAAGCCAGTGCTTGACCGAGGAAGCTGCGATCAAGAACTGCTTTAGAATAATTCCACATATACACACTATAAACTGAACATCGTTCTAATAAAATGAAATATTGTGAAAAACTCACCACCCGCTAAACCACGTACAACGAAGATTGCTTTGATTTGACGAAATGCTGTTCGCATACCGTGAACCATATCTGGTACACGGTTCAAAACATAAATGCAAATAGACAACATCACCAGAGAACAGGCGACATTATGAGCTGAAACATATTGCACTGAATTCTCCGAAAAAAAATGAAAATGTCAGAAAAAAGTCCTGAAATGTGATATAGATTTTCGAAATAAACAATCAGGAGATTTCGTGTTATTTCCCCTCGTTAGGGCTCGATTTTTTCTTTCTGATCTGTATCTATTTTTGAAGCAACGTGTAATAATCGTAACTTATGATGAACTCATACCGAAAATTGATTTAAAAGCATGGACGTACCTAAAATTAGCCTTTCCACGGGAAACCCACACATCCGGGCTACAATCGGAAGAGTGAATACTGTGAGAAAAGCTCTGCCCACATCACTTTCTAAGCCGAGAACACAGCTCTGCACCACGCTTAGCATCAACTGTAACATCAAAGTGAAATTTAACGAAAGCAGCCGCTGTTTTGTCCTAACTTACCTGAGCTAAGAAGTGGAATCCATGCCTTTCCAGTTTCACAAAATTGTCGAGCTTTAGCTCTTTATCTTCGCTGTTCTGCTCGAGATTAACATATGTTGTTGACATATAATGCGCAAAGGCAAATATCAACAAACTGAATGCGTGAGTGTACAGTTTGAATAACTTCGACAGTGGTAGCGTGAGAAACATGACGCTTAGAAATAACACTAAAAAGTCGGTTTTATAAATGTACACAAAGCTGAAAATGAGTCCAATGTCTGTACAGGAATGGTTTGAAGTATAATTATAAAATAATGATTCAGATGGAACAATTTAGAATAATGCAATAAGTAGAGAATAGAGAGATAACAAGAAAAGTATGCAGTTCGACGGAACGATGATAGAACTTCAGACTACATGAAAGTGTTCCGAGTGCAGAGAAGGTAATCAATCCATTAGCGCGTACCTATCCTATACCTGGAGAGGATTCAAATCAGCTTGTAAACAAATGTGACGGCCTTAAAAACTCTAAGACCAGTTTTGATTTCCACATTTTCCCCAATCCAAAGTTCCACACGTCATTGAATTTCTGGTCAGGCCTTCTATCGCCAGACGTCAACCACAGGATAATCTGTGTCCCCCCTNCCCCCCCCCCCCCCCCCCTCCCCTGCCCACCACTCCCCGCTTAAAAACGACTGGGAATGTAATTCATAAAACACTACCAGAACTGTTTTCAATTTGGTTAAATGTTCCATGAAGTTCTAGTCAGGAAAGGCGATCACGAGAAAAGTGAAAAAGGGGAAGGAAGCGTGGGAAAGTTACAAGATAGAAAAAAAGAAATAGGAAAGGTATAATGGTAAAACATAGTTCACCATAATATCCTTACTTTTACTACATACCTGAGTAACTCAAAATAATAGCAGCTGAATTATCAAAGTCTCTTCTGTGAACAAAATCCAGTATAGTAGAAATATCTAGATAGGAATTAAAAGGTGCCTGAAAACACGAACCAAGCAGTAATTCAGTAATGAGTGATAATAATGATAACAATAGTAAAACTAACAATAACAACAAAACAGCAGAGGGGCCGTGAAAATCTTACCTTTTTCAGCATTTCCTGTGTAATTTCTTCAAAACTTATGTCGCGATTTCTCCACCATAACTCTAACAGAATGAGACCAGGAAGGCGAAGTATAGTCTCCATTAGCCTTACAGCAATTAATCGACAAATTCTAAGGCTTTCGTGAACTGGATCCTGATCGATAATATCAGGTGGAATCCTTCTGTCCAAAAACTCGTGGTCTTCCATGATCCTAAAGAAAAAAGGAAAATTGCTGCCTTCCACCTCAGACAAAATCGTGTTGCGAAGAACGGGCATGCAAGCGCAGAATCAAACTCATTCTTTAATTTGACCGGAAAAAAGACCTACTGATCAAAGAGGAGGCAAATAAAAGGCAGCAGCTTGTGTGAAGCCTGATAGCGGATGAAAAAAAGGTACCGGAGATTGAGTGCATATAGAAAATCGGAAGTTCAAGACCCATAAAAGCAAAGAATTAGATCCAGCATTCAAGAAACCACCCGACATTCAGAATCACAATCAGCCAAACATTTGATTGACACTAATGCACGGTCACACACCATTATCTCTCGAATGAATGCATCTCCAGATGCAGTCACGTCATAATGGCTTGAAGGCACAATTTTTATAATAAAGCTTTTGGAGATTTGTTGGTGGAAATAAATTGTGTCTCCAAATAAGGTCACAAGTGGAGCGTTGTCAAGTCGAGAACCGATCCATATGGGACATAATAAGGGTTCAAGAACCACTTATAAACAACTTCATCAACCGGCGACTCTAAACTTGATAGAATTTTCTTTTGCGAGAATGGAGGAACCTATAAATGAAAAGACAACGAATAAAGGAAAAACGGTTCGTTTGGCTCTTTGTGAAAAGGTCCTACTCCTTTCAATTAGCTGGATTTTAATACACTTTGGAAGAGATACATTCGTGGCATTCTAGTCTTCATAAAAAATCAACTATTTTTTCGAGTAACGGACAACTGATAGCAAGATTAACGATATTGACATCAGCAGCAATTTCAATATCCAACCATTTCGGTAGAGATCGAAGTACGCGAAACAAACATATCAGCATAAGCCAGACAAGGAAGTGGGTATAGAGAGGCAGGACATTCAGCGATCTAATATTTGGCAGCCTTAATATTAGTCATTCCAATGTCTTGATATGAGGGCAGCGTCAAAAGCAGTGGACACAAAAAAACAAAGACAGACTGTATTCTCCTTTTTTGCATCTTGGTTTATTCTGATTTTCATCAAGCATGATAACAGAAACTGTCTGCTATGAAGTGTTGCGTAGATAACACTTTGCACAGATCATTTTTGTTTAAATTTTGTATGTTATCATATGTTAACAGGAGTATCAGCGAGCTGTTTGGTTTCCCACATATCTGAATCTTTTCAGATGGTTTCCAAGTCGCTTCAAAAGAGAAGTGAAGCGCGAAAAATTTGATAAATAACGGCCATCTCATAAGAGAAAACTTACACTATTTTTATCTCGCCCTTCAATGGGGAATGAATAAGCGCATATTCAGGGCTGTCACTTACCCTACAGATAATGCCAATAAAAGAGAAATCCGGTATTTATCAATTGCTACACTCTAGCTTATAGAAGAAAGTCATTTCAGTCCTTCAACGAAGGGATGACTTGAGACCCAATGACAAATATGACGCACATCTGTCACAAGAACATAGATTCGCACCTGTTCTTGGATGAACGAGGCCCCTTTTTTGAGTCAGCATGTTAATTGAATAGTGAAACAAAATTGCAATCAATAAATATTTCAAAAAAAAAAGCCTCAGCAAAGCAAAAAAAAAGCGATGAAAATAACTGAAATCAAATGGTGGTGCCTTTCGCTTCCTAATCAGAGGACATACTGAATCCACTTTTCCGGAAGCTCAACAGCGAATTGGCTATAGCGGGAAGGTTTGGTTAATTTCAAAAATATGAAAGTATTTGTTGACAGCAGAAATCTCTAGATACAAATATCCGCAAAAGTTTTCCATTCATGACCAGCAGAATGAAATGAAGTGGTACTTAAATGAAATGGAAAGGCCGCTACTTATAAAACACCATCTAATACTTCGAAATGATACTTATGTTGGACCGACTGAGCCTCTCCTTGCAAATGCAACAGAGAAAGTATTGCAAAATTATTCAATCGACTACAAGTAGAAACAGCGCTAAAAAGAGTCTGTCGGATTGCTATCACACAGGCAATTGAGATGAGCCAATGAAAGTCTTTTTGGCAGAACACTTGCAGAAGATAATAGCAGCAAGAAATCCCACTAAGCTAAAACTTGAAAGAATCTGAAAAATGTTAAATAATGAATCAGACGAGCAGAAGCGATTTTTGATGCTACTTGCAAAGAACCAAAGAGCTTTCATTCACGGAGAAGCTGTGGGAACGATAAGTAATGGATGGCTCATCAAAGCACATCTTAACCGAAAAACAAGCAAACAGTCACGAGTGGAAGCAATTAATCTGCCAATTAGATGAGGTGATCTGTACTTACGGTTTATGCACTTCAGTAGTCGGATTTAGAAACGTGTTAACCGCAATTACAGATAAGCTCACTACTGTGTGTCACCATAAACCAAGGGTAGAAACCAAAAATCATTGCCTCATTATTATTGTGCTTTTAGCGTTTTTCCCTCTTATCGTTGCTTTACCGAACGTGTTTTGCTCTTTGATAGTTTCAAAGATGATAGAATTCTCAGTTCCGAATTAGGGATTGGCTAATAAAATTGGCTTCGTAAAAGATGTGGCTCCATTCATGAGATTGATTCCAATCAGTATTGTAAAATGGTGCTTTTAATGTAGAGTAGATCAACATAGCCAGGTAAGAGGGCTCCTGATGCGTAACATGAAGTAGACTGGAGATTGATGCCGTCAATATTCAATAATGGAGAGGGCGGATTTCGTTGGGAGTTCGACTTCCTTATTTACTTCCTTTTATCAATTGATTGCTGCGAGAAAATGGGCTGTTTTGCATTTTACCAGGGAGTAATCATTTATTGCTGAGTTCATCATATGTGTACTGATAGCAGCTCATCAAATTCATCGCTTTGTTTTGAGCTTATGCTTTTCAGCAGGACAAATGGAGGAACTGAATTCGATCTCATTTGAACGATTGCAATGTGTATCGGACTATTGTAAGCTTATGGTTCAACTGGAAAGCTATTTGACCTCAGCAAGAAGTGATATTTCGAAAGCAAGGTTGTCCATGAGATTCATAGAGGTTAAGAATCACACGGACTATTTCATTTTGTGCCTAACCAAGACTGATTCAGAACTCTCCAAGGAGTCGCTCTATCCTCTACATTCAATATAGATGTACAATCTCCTGAACCGAGCGTGAGGTAGAACTTTTTGCGAGAATCTTCACCTGTAATACACTTTTTTGCATTTTTTGTTTATTTCATCTCGATTGGTTCAGCTACCACATAGTTTTACAATGAATGCTTGTTGTCTGGATCCGTTCCTATCCAGACTAACCAAACTTTAAATGTTTTCAAATAGAGTTATCTATGCGAGCTCGTCTGAAACGATGAGAGTATTGACTTTAACATAGGCTGATCCCAAGAAGTCATTCATTGTGTAGCCCGAATACACACTTAAGCACTGGCATTCGCTGGCGAAACTTTGTAGGATAATAGTGTGTAGCTCCCTTCTTCTGGAACTGCTAATGACTCGAGTTCAATTCGACTTTTGAAAGTGCGACTCACCTTGGAATACTGAGAAGCTAAGGTTAAACATCTAAATTTAACTCGCCCCCTGTCTCGCATCAGTTTTTCAGGCATGAGCATATATATTCCATATAGCTTGTTTTGTTTCTTCACCTTTTTGTTGCCAGGACCGGCAGTTTGGAAGCGCGAGACCAAAGACGACATCCCAATTGAAATTATTTTTCATATTCATATTTGAATATTTGAGTTTAAAAGTTCTCCCATTGAGAGTTTTTTGTTCAGGGTTACGTTTAACGAAGGCAAGTTCTCAATCACAGACGGTTCGGACGCAAAAAAGGAAGACGCAAGTGGATCAGAGGTACAACAACGATATCACATTTACATTTGGACGAACTGAGCTGGGTTTAGGTCCGCAAGCGTAAAGAGGATGAACCTTCAAAAAAGGAAGAGGAAACTGAAAAACCAAAAAAGCAGATTCCAAATTTTCGACCTTTCGGAATCTTCGAACCGTTGTGTGTGAAGGAAGCTCGGAAGACGATGCACTCAGCCATTGAGGTAAGAGAGTAGTAAAATATCTCTAGTTGATGTAGAAATGGGGTGTGCGACACATCATTCGATTCCGTGGTGGGGACAGTAGGAATACTCCTCCGCGAACATTGTACTTTGGTTATAAGTGATACATTGTACCTGTTGGGAGAGTTTCTTTCTCTGTGTATCTCAATAACATTCAGCGGAACTGTAATTGAAATTCGAGATCATCCCGAGAACACGGGGGTCAGCTTCATACCGTCTACTTCTTACGCAGTGTATCAGCATCATAAACAAAGTTACATATTTTTTGTCCTTAGTTGTTTTCGGAATTTTTACAGATTGTCTGCGAACTTGCAACACTGCAATGTGAAATCAAACGACTCGATTCAAAGACACTCTCAATCAAAAAATCGTTGAATCTCGATCAAGAACTATGCCAAAAGCTAGAGCGTGTGTTGAAAGTATGAATAGAAGCATGTGACTTTGATCTTTAATAACCTCACTGTTGTAGTTATTTATTCGTACAGTATCACATTCGTCTTTCATGAAACATGTTGAAATAGATGACATGTAAAGTATTAATTATTTCTATGTACAATATATAAGAACTAATAAAACTTTCATCCCAAGAAAGGTATGTCATATCAAAGGGGGAGGTGGTCAAACCAATAAAGCCACTAATGGCAGATTGTTCCTGTTACCCGCTGAGTAGTCCTTGTGGTTACCGGATCCATCAGTTCCATTTGAGTTCTGACACCCTCAATGACGAGCAGTGTCGGGCATCTGAAATTACTGACGAGATCTGTGCTGTAAGTGATTGGGGCTTAGTTTCTAAATGAACGGTTTTACAGGCATTTACAAACAATCCCATAGCTACCTTAGCGTAAGTCAAAGGGTATAAGTGTTTTCGGCAACAGTTAAGCTTTTTAGAATGTGCGGTTCCTATTGAATACCGCGATGGAAGAATTCCCCAGCCTAACCGCTATTGAAGGCTCAATAAAGAGGTACTCTCTAGGCTTTCCAGCGCCGAACTTGGAAAATTCTCGCTTCCAGCGAAAGAAATGGCGATACCCCGGGTAAACAATTAGAAAAGTACGGTAAGGAAACGTCTGCTCGAAGCAATCGATGTTGCCTGGCTGACAGGCAATACAACTAAACCAGGTATCAGGTAAATCAGGTAGCTTGTGATGATCAATCGATCTTCAACTAAATGCCTTCATCCGAAGCGAAAGTATAATATAAAAGGACGAAAGTAAGAATGTATATAGGTAACTGAGAACTGAGGAGGTGTTGGTAACGTACGAGCGTTCTCTGTCAAATGATGTGACGAAATAATATGTAATCAAGAAATATTTCCAAAAACAAACCAGTGATAATGCAGTGCCTTCATTTGGCCGCATTTTTCAGCGAGAGAAACAATCGAGACCCTCTTAAGGAGGTAGTCATTTGCTGAATGAACGTTGACATGGTTGCATCCTTTTCGCAGACGCGACCGGCATAAACCACCACAATATACAGCTTTGCTTCGACTATATCACCGAACATGCACTATAAACTAATATAAACCTCGAAATCTTTTTTAGAAAACCATATGTAACATGTAACGTACGTGATCTCTTTCAGCATCATAGATATACTTGCTTTTAGCTGGATAGCGAAGATTTGACTGAATGAAAGCGTATATGTGCTCTTGATACTTCTCGAACACGTCATTGTGAGACTGAGCCTAAACATTAATCGGGAGATACATAATCTTGGACTAACCCCGATAACTCACAGATTTATGCCCTTCAGCGGGAGATGGTAATCGAAATACGGCCGGACATAGCGCTGCTAATCCTTTTCGAGGTTCCGTCGGTGGCCCAGGAGTAAAACGATCCTTAAGACGATTATAGCCGAAACCTGTACAAAGGGGATAGACGAAACAGGCTTCAGTCAAAAAGGGAACCTTCTCAATAACGCACCGTAAAAGCTTTCGGTACAGTTTTCACGGTCCATAACTATCGCCAGACATGCAGCATCGGTTTTCTTTACGATTTGAGTTGCATTTGATATAAAATTGAACCCATTGTCAATAGTGTGAATGGTCTGGAAACTTGAAAATTGGATAATGTGCATTGAAAAATAATAATAATTGAATAATACTCGCCCGCAAATCGTCCACACTACAAAAATTCCCCAAAACATTTGTAAAATACAAGGAGAATTTAGCCATCAAAAGATTATAAAACTGGATCAACCAGTTTATCAAACGATTTCGTGGCTGTTTTTCAGTTGACCTAAACAGAGTAATGGCTCAATAGGTCGGTTGCATCCTTACAATGTGGGAGTAACTAAAGAAAGCCTTCTGAGTTTAAAAAAGAGACAACTGTCTCGGAAAAATACAAGTAAAAACCTAAAGTCAAATCATCTATACCGCTGGCGTAAAACGCTCACCTAAAGAAGTAAAATACAGATTTGTTGACAGGATTTAAACAGTGCGAATCGCGTACCCAGTAGTCGAAACGTTCCCTTATTTCTTTCAACTGTAGAAGGCTCTCAAACATCTGAAATGCAATAAAATTTCACGTTAAAGTGCTAGATAAATAGAGCCAGAACGCTAAACGTATATCCGTAGAGAAGCTCAACAATTGGAGGACTCACCTTGCAATTGGAGATGTGAATTTGTGCAGAGACAAGCAATAGCAAAACATCAATTTCGCCAGAAAGAAGGTGAGCCATTGAGAAGAGCGAGTGGTGATGGCAGGATTTCAGCATTTCCGATACCCTAACCCCACGAGCATGCAATGAATCCCACAAGATAACTCGGTCGTTTGCTGAAAAATTTAGTTTTACAGTTAGCTAATAAACTGAAACTTTTTCAAGCTCAAAAACGGCTGGTCACTATAGCGGGCAATACATGCCCGTTACGCCTACCAGAGCACTCTCTTTCTTTTTGTACCTCTAGTCCCCCATAAAGACGGATGTGAGGCCGTAGCAAACGAACCGAAGAAGAAGAACTAGAACCGCACAGTGCTCAGGGAGGACCGGATAACCAGAATATGGATGTTGTACAGAAACCTTCCATACATATCTGGGCCACCCCAATACTTATAATATATTTATCCATTAGTAATAGCAAACAATTTCGAGAGATGCATTACTTGGTAGAGAAGATATTAGAAGGTAAAAAGGGGAATTGTGAAAAACCAACCTAAACTTGCAATGGTAGTGTAAATGCTAATCATTTCTACGCGAGCAAGTACATATTGCCGGCACTGTGCCATGATATGGTCAGCTAATGTAGAAGGACTGGAGCCACCATCAGGAAGGGCCGCTGAAGGGCAAGCTCGCACAAGTTTTTCACTGGAACAACAACTTCAACTTGCTCTGGAACTGCTTAATAGCTCGTAACGAGCAGTAACGATAGAGAAAATACCTAATCTGATAATATTGATTCTTCAGCGCATTTTCCTTTCGAAAGAATGCTCTGGGTTGAAGAAATGAGAGTAGGTAGTAGTTTTTATCACAGTTTGCAATCTGTTGAGAGACAACTGTAGTAGGTGGGAAGGAGATTAAATCTCAAGAACTTACCAAAATCAATGAAGATAAAAGTGCAGCCCATGAAACATCCTTTTCATTTATAACCATCACAGATCTTGATGTCGATTGTGTGTATTGTTCGATTAGTTCACGAGCTTGATCAAACTGTAAGGTAACGTGAATATGAAGCAAAAGAATTCGAAATAACGATATAAATAGTCTGAAAATTCGAAAAGATACCTGAAACTTTTCTACTAGTTGCCCATATCGTTGTATAACCTGTTCGACATCCGCTGGGCGAAAAACAGGTGTAGTTGGTCGACCAACTGAAGTAATTCATTCATTTCTTGCGACTTGACGTTTCAAAACAAGAATTAGAATCTATAGAAGTAAAAAGTCATCTAGTGGTAGGTAGCGCATTACACGAAATGTCCAGATATCAAACTCGGATCGATACTCGCCCAAGCCCACCAAGCCTTCCATCTCCCTGAGGTCGGTTAAACGGTGTCAGACTCGTGCGGGAGGATAAAGACAGTGACTTGTAAATAGACTAGGTATCTCAAGTTATTGTATAGACCTCATACTCATTCGATACGCCTCTACGACTCTGAATTGTGTCGAATGTGGGTGTGCATCCCTTATACGGGATTGATTGGAACCAAAAACTTCGCCCTAACGATTAACTATATGGAAGTAAAAAAAGATCATGCTCACCTATCGAAATTTAAGAAAATTTAAGCAAATGGTGAAAGCGAAACACTCACATTGGGAGTTTGGCGACTGTAACGGAGCAGTGGCTGTTTCCATATCTTCCACAACGGAGGATGTCGCTTCTAAAGCCTCAGAGGCTTCAGCGACCTCTTCACTGTCGTCCTCACTTGTTTCTTTGCTGTCCATCGCCCAAGTTCTCGAATATTTTAAACTTAAATGAAAAAAGACCTCAGCGCTACGGTACTTTAATTACGTTTTCTGTTGTTCACTGCGTACACTTCAATTGACGGCAGCACTTATCAAAGCGGGTGTTCGGTTTTGTCCAGGCTGGTTTTGGAGCTTTTAACAACAAGTGGGGTAATCCAGTGTTCAATAAGTTGTTGGTACACTGCTTGATCAAGAAAGTTTTTGTGCTTATTTTCCTTTGGACGTAAAGCTTTCCTGTTTATCTGGAGTTTTGTGGTGGGGGAAGTTTTTGGTTGGCAGAGTGTTCGGGATGATTCTTTGCAATGTTTACATGCTTTAGGACTTGTACAGCACCACTGACCTGAGCCTTGAAGTAGAAAGTTTCAAGACAATTTTTTATCATCTTCTCCGTATTGGCGACTTGATGTGACAGTTCGATTTACAGGCTGAGCATACTACTAGACTAATTATCAAAACGGTTAGAATCTAAGTCTAGGAATCTTCCTGGTTTGCATTTACCTGTTTGTCGGTAATATCGTTTCAGGTTTCTTTGAATGCATCGACCCATCAGTTGTTTATCGCACAGACCTACTAGGCCTTTAAACTTCACCGCGAGTCTGAATGAGGGCCATGCTTGGGATACCGAACCCAGAACCGATATCAGCCCGGGCCAATGGCGTTGTTATCGGCTAATCGGAACCAGTCCAATCGAAAACCTTGAATGTATTGAAGGCTTGGTTGGCTAGACGGGTAAAGCTACTGGCATGTAGTACATCAGCTAGCTCCTTCACGCCACTGCATGGGGCTGCACACGCTTCCATAAAACCACTATGATTCTACAGGAAGTCGATGGCGGAGCGCATCCCAGAACGCCATATGCGATCAAGGACCTCAAGCTTTTAGGCTTGACTTATTCAGCCTTAATTACGTTTGCCTATTTAAAATGTTAATGAACGTGTTTCACCACTCTTGCCGCCCTTCCCAGAAACGGCGCATATAACCCGGGAGGCAGCGTCGAGGTTGCCGATGGCGCCTCTCGGCTTATCCTGAGTCAGGGTATTTACGATGGTGTAACCGTGGCTAGTCATGCCAGGATCCTTATGTTTAGCCATCATTCAACAATAATGTTTTGAGGTTGATCCTGCTCCCTCAGTTCCGAAACCGTGCCATACGACGCACCCATGTAGTTTAGTAGAAACTCTAAAAATGTAGGGCGGTTATGTAGGTACGTGAATTTGGCAGATTTATTAATTCAAAGAAAATATGTCTAGTAAGAAATATCGTCATATTTTCCGGAGTTCTTATTGTAGCGAAGAGCTTTTTTAGCCGGAAACAGTTCGCTCGTCGACATATCGTCGGTCTCCTGATCGGTCGATTTTGGATTCTGGAGCAATTATGCTAGAACCACTCGAAAGTATCAGAGGGATAAACCTGCCGTTCTCTTCTCGAGGCCATACTGACCTTTGATCGTGTTCGTTTACTGTCTCCGTTTTTCACTAACTCCGCAGACACATGTACTTCATCTCTGTCGTCCTGAAAAGCGTTGCATACGGTCTCATATATCAACTGTAGGACGCAAGTTTACGTTTATAGTTTGTTGATACGCGGGTTATCGCCTACAATTTCGTAGTGACTGGAGCCACGCACTGATAAGCTGCCCACCAAAGTTATTGGGAGTGAGCAAAATATTTCCCGAATGAAAAATCACCTGTAGTTTGCGCCCGATTTAAAAAAAAACACCAGAATACTGTAATGTAAAGAAGATTAGGAATATGGGAACTAGCGAAGCTGGTGTAGGGCTAAGTCTTGCTTTATCAAGGCATTCTTTTTGCGACAACATCCCGGATCGGATCCGC